GTCTTAGCTAATTGTGGATTCTTTTTATATATTTCCAATGCCCTCTTTAATAATGATAACAAATCTTTTTCACTCATGTATCCCATTCCTAATTTTGTTTTTAATTTCATGGCATTTGTAACAACCCACGCCCAAAATCTTTCCGACTTACTAGCATCTGGTGACAATACTCTCATCCACGCTGCTTCTTGTAAAGTTTTATCTGCTTTCTTTATTTCACTATAATCTACATTTGGGTTTGTATAATAAAAAAGATTGTGTTGTTTGCAATGTTCATCTAAAGGATTTATTCCTTTCCACCCCTTTTTTAATCTCTCCTCAACATTCGTAAAAGGTCCACAAGCATTATATCCCAGTAAATGCATTTCTGGAACCTTTCTGGTTAGTTTATTTGAAAGTTTATTAATAAAATCACCCCCTTTTTTACTTCCTTTTCTAATTTGTGACTCACCCATTTCTTCCCATAAATATCTCAAAATATATTCCCATTTTGTATATTAGGGCTCCCTTCTTCTTTAACTCTTGGTGACACTGGAAAAGTTGATTTTTTAGGTGAATGGCTCGAGCTAACAGATGGTACCGCGTCCAAAGGGTGCTCGAAGGTCTCTTCATCACTATCGTCAGTCTCTGTATAACCTTTAAGGATTTTTATTATTTCAATCCGTGTGGTTCTGACCAAGCTTTTTTACAGAACTTACAAAACTCTTCATACGTTAATTCAGAAGCCAATTCTTCGTGTATTTTTCTGAGATTATCTCCAAACTCATTAAAAATAAACCACAGATTTGAATTTTTTCTAATTATAGGGTTTATTTTAGTGTATTTATGATATAATCCAAGAATACTAATATTTTTATGCCTTCCTTCACAATAATATCTTATTATTTTACTTTGATCTTTCAACATTCCATCATAAAAAATTACTAAACTATTTGATGCATATTCTTCTACCGGTAAAATTTTTTCCCAATTACCCTCAAATAAATAATCAATATCATATTTATATTTTTCCAACTCTTTCTCTAATCCTACATAAGTAGGTTGGTCTATAGATGGACTATAAACATATAATTGCCTATATGGTAGCCATTTGTTTGCGACAAAGTTAGTAGATAAAAATGTTTTTCAGTAGGGTATATAGGAGAGTTCTAAGCCATGGTCCTCTGAGGAGGGGTGAGGGGCGAGGGGAAACCGGCGCGGGGGTATGACGTCACGCGGGGGAATCGCGTCCTAACCGGTAGGCGAGGAGTCCGCGGAGAGGGGGAAGGGGACCGCGTTCTAACCGATGGGCGAGGGACTCGCTAACCTAACCGTCGCGAGACGTCCGCGAGTAGGTGTGAGAGAGATAGCGCTAATGATATTCTATGGGCGTGGGAGAAGGATAGCGCGAGGCGTAGCCTATCAAAATTATAATCAAAATATTTGTGGTCAATTGTGTCTTCGATCTCTTCAAACGGTCGATGATTGATATGAATTTAAAGCCTGACAATTCACCGTCGCGACTCAGTATTCGTTCGACAGTTTTCCAGCATGTCACTCACGCTTACGTTGACCGGCAAGAGTAGCGTTCTTGCTGTAAGCTACTTTCCAGTTATAGATTTAAACGATGGCGATTATGAGCTTGGTTTAACGGATTTTGAAACTTATCATACAATATCGAACGTGAATTCTTGGAATAATAAATTTTATTTTGATAACGACGATAAGGAAATTACGATTCCCGAGGGATCGTACGAATTACACGCTATAAACGAAGTGTATAAATATTTGAATGGTGTATAAATAATTGTTTTGTCGTTCAAAGCCGTTTGATAGCCGTTCGATAGCCGTTCAAAGCTGTTCAATACCTGTTCGTTAGTCGTTCAATAGCCGTTCGATAGTGGTTTACATATAATATATTATTCATATTTAAGAGATTAGAATTAACTGGGAACGTGCCACCTTTGTTTTCTTATCAAGAGTTGAGAGTAAGCGTTCTTTGTAAGTGATTCATCCCCTACTCTAAAATGTTCGAGACAATGTCTGCCCTGTCGTGGCTGTCACAACGTTTCGAGCAGTGAGCGACGAACAGTTTGATTAAAATTTATTACACGCGAAACAAGTACAAGTCATGCCATCATTGATCGAGACAGTTTTGCGTCGCGGTCATTGGAATGCGTCGTGGGGGGCGAAGGACTTAGTGATGGGGCTATTGCGGGTTTTGCTGAATCTGGTGTGTTTCCAAAGAGTAAGTAATATATGCTTTATATTACATTAATTATTTATAATACATATTATAATTCAATTTAATTTAATTTATAGTATCAATGTATGAGCGACATCAAAATTCCCGGCTTTATGAATTTTGAACACCGACGGTATATAAGAACATTGCGGCGACACGACCGCGAATTTGTGGCTATAGACGTTTGGCGGAATTACGGCCCCGACGGCGTCTACATGGACCTCAGACGTCTATTCGGGCTCGAGCCCTATGAGGAGGATGTGAGGAGTCGTGGGACGAGCCACCGAGCAAGAGGTCGAAGGATTGATTGTAAGTATCCTTTTTAATAGTTATAATATATTAAATATTAAACATTAAATTAGTATACTAATAAGATTTCTTTCTGTTTCAGATGGAGCCTACATATTATATTACTATCATTATTAT